CCCCTCCCCCACCACCACAGCGTTAGTGTTTATTACCAGTGTGCAATATACTAAATAATATTAGTTTTTAGAAAATCAACATTAATTACTATAATTTTTGTTTGGTAAAGAACAACTAAGCAAATGGGCTTTCAGGCGAGCAACAATTGGGTGCATATCTTTGTCACATGTTTACATAATGGTCAGTTCCATTTCACTCCCTTTCTTCAGTGAAGTGATTCCAAACAGCATCTTTTTTGCGACCACACAAACTCATTTTTGTGCTTCAAATTTTAATTGTTCAGGTTCGCTTTTGTCTTGTGAATTGAATTCTTTGAAAATTAATCTAGCCTAACCTTCGGTTAGGCTAGACTGGCTACCAACAATTAAAGTCAACATTGACTAAAAATGATATATTTTTGTGCTCAAGTAGTGGAATCACATGTTTGTAACTCACTTGCTAAATCAGTTTCAATCGTCTATTCAATCATTTGTAAAAATATGAAATTCATATCTAAAGAAAAAGCAATGCAATATTTGTTGTATTCTAATTATACCTTAAATTAATTTGTTTTAAACCAAAATCTGATTTCAATTAAAAAACATTTTTTCGCAATACAAATTACTGTTTTGATACATAGAAATTAAATGTTGTTTTTTCTCGTGTTTATAGTTCTTCAGAGCCTTGTATATCATCATGGGGTGTCGCTTTGATTAAGAGTTGGAATATTATGAAGAGTCTCTTATTAGTAAATTAGTTGAAAGTTTAATTAAGAAGAATGTGTAAAGCACAGCTAAAACACTTTATTTATTTATTTTTTGTTTCGTTCTTTCATAGTATCCAGATTAGTTAAAATGTGCCTTTTTTTTATCATGAAGACAATTTTCCATTTGAGAAATGAAAAAAATGGTCAACATGTTAATATTCAGAATGAATTTACAGAATGAGTATAATGGCTGATAAGGACATTATTTCTCTGAATTTTGGCTTTTTGTTTGATGCATTTGCATGTGTCAACCTGACGGTGTTTCACTAGTGCATCAAAGTCTCTGGCAATTTTTTATTTTATTTATAATGATTTATCTTTTTTTCTTTGTGCTTTCATGTTTTGCCTTTTTATCCCATTCCATGATTTAAGTTGTAGATCTTGCGATTCCTTCGTTTATCCAGGTTTTCATTTTCTGTTCTCTTAATATTTACACTTGACTTAATATTTTTATGTTTGTACTGTAAATTTTGAACAAAATGGTTTAAAACTATATTGAAATAATTTTACCAGAGATATAAAATATTTTTCATGTAATACAACTCCATTACTTCCAAGAAAATCCATTTCAAAGTTTGTCAATTAAAATTTTTGTCTTTAAGCTTGACATGTTGATATGCATTTGTTTATTATATTGTTAGAAGGCTAAGAATTGATATTTTGCTTGCGAGAAGGGTTATATGATTGTAAATTGTATTGGCTAGTGAACTGTAGTTTCATTGGGGTAATTTGAACCTGCAGTTTAGTGAAAGAACAAATTATTTTAAAGTTCAGAGAGTAATATGTTAATTGCATTTACTACACATTTGGTCATATTTGTTCATCATTTGAGTCTTCTGTTTTGGCCTTCCAGGAATTTTAAAGTTTATAAAGTTATGTATTAATGTTATGGCAGGTAGCAATGTTAACTCAAGATAATTCTCTTCGTTATTATTTTTAGTTCCCTTTTCACCTTCTTCTTACTTGCTTGACATTAGTCACTTACCTTGCCATCTTGAATATAGCCTTTCTAGAATGTAGTTTCTTTATCTTTATAGTTTTTATATTTTTGATTCTTGATTGAAATTTACTTTTCCTTTTCTATTACTCACCTCCATCTTGCTTTATTTCCTTCAATTTGCCTCATTAAAAATGTTTTTGTTATTTAATTAATAGTTTAGGGATTGAGCAGTCCATTGATGATAGCAAGATATTTTATTTATTATGGTAACTTCATGTGATTTTGATGTAATCATGTGTGTTCTACATAATTTGTTTCAGATTTAACTTCATTTACTGCTTCTCTTTAATATTTATGTTCAAGTTAATTGATTTCGTAATTGTTTTTTAGAAGTTTTGAATTTGAGGATTTGGATGTGCAACTGTGTGCATTTGCTTATGTTGAATACTTTTTTTTTATGCTTTCAAGTCTTGTTTTCTTCAAATATAAAAATCAGTGCATTTTATTAGTTCAGAAACCAGGCTAATATTGATGATAGTGTGATAAGTTAATATGCATACAGTCACATTGCAGATTTTCAAAGTATGCTTTTGTGCATGCATAAAGTTTATACAAATTTGTGGCAGTCAGGTTGGTTGTAGTATTATTCCCACTAAGTGTGGTCCAACTTAAATGGGTTTTTAACTGTGAATTTTATCTGAAGAAATATTAATTTTTATTGTGTCTTACCATAGTTTGTTGTTGCATAGCATAATATCTTGAAGTCAAATTTAACAATGTATTGGAGTATGTTTGATTATTTTTTGTTTCAATTGGTACGAATCCCTGTATTAAAACATTGTAATATTGATGTCTAATTTTTGGGCTTTGTGCCCTTCTCTAACCCATTCAATTTCAGTTCAACTGCAGATAGAAGAAATCAGCAGAAAACTACGCACTGGTGAATTAGGGATACCAGTTAATCCAGAAGAAAGGTGTGCTTCATGACAATAACCCCTTGTGTTCAGCTTAGCCATCTACAAGGGCTTGCAACCTTCAGTGCCATGTCATTCCTTCTGTCTGGGTTTTGTATTGGTTTGGAATACCTATTTAATCATTTCTTTTACAACGAGGTGAATTCCAGGTTGGATGACTTCAGGTTGACACAGCTGACTAATATTTTGAAAAATATTTTGCATTAAAATACAGTTAGTGTCTTTTACACCTGAAGTTCAACAATATGTGAATTGTAGGATTTTGTGTGGATTGAATAATCAGATATTCTTTTGTCCAGTTTTTTTTGGAGGGTGTTCTTTGCTGTAATCCTACAATTCACAATATTTAGCGTAATAAGCAAAATTAAACAATTGTTTCATGGATTTTTCTTTATGGTTGGGGTACTATGCACATAGTTTTTTATAAATTAATATTGAGTTTTGGGGTATTTCACATTTAAGAAATCAGTGATATTTTAATTAAAGAAATTTTGTGTTCTGTGTTTCCATGTTACTGTATGTATGCAAGTACCCGTGATATAGCTACTTCCAAATTAGCGGGGGGAGTCATAATCTTCATGATTTAAAATTTCTCTTGCAGCCTGAACATTTAATGTAATATTGGTACATTTCAGGGATACGTTTTATAGCACACAAATTTCCTGAACTGCTTCATTCTTTTAGCAGTGAAGTATCGTAAATGATACTTACATTTGTTTTAATTATTACCTTTTTCCCTTCACATTAAAACACAGGATTTTGCTTAGGCACCAGACATTCTTCATATTAATAATAGATCAATAATTGTGAAACTGTACGTTAATTTTAACAGCTTGAGGGTTTGCTGATGTAGTACTGTAATTCATATTTTTCTATACATTTTAATTCATGCATGAAATTAATATCAATTATGCGCACAGGAGTAGACAAATTTGGATTTAACCGTCTGACATAAGAAGGACCAATGTATTTGGAGATATTGTCTGCTGTTTTCTGATTAATTTAGATGAAAGTGCTTCATCCTATCTTTATTATATGTAAATTAGTTCTTTGAGAAAGTTGAAGCATTTTGGAAACAATTTTTTATTGATGTGTTTCTAGAATATGAACTGTAATCACTAGAGAGGTGAAAAGCAAAATGCGAAATTTGATGTTTCATTATGTTTCATTTAGTTTGATGTTTCATTATAAATATTTCAATTTCAATTAGTGACTATGGCAATTTTTTTTTTTTTTTTTAACTTAAAAGAAAGGGGCTTTTTTCATTGTTCTTACAATGTTTTGACTTGGATCAGAGGGGTCTTGGCTTAGTTGCGGTTAATTCTGTCTCAATTTTAACACCTGACAGAAAGTCCTTATTTTGTGTTATGTTACAATTTTTTATATCTTAGGTATTATCAAGTTGTACACCTTTTGTACGTTTGTTATGTGTTCATCAAAAATATATCTTTAAATAAGGTCATGTTCAACTTGTCAAAAATATGAGTGTTTTTTGCAACATTTTGTGTCAACTATAGGCAATTTTTATTTTCTTTAAACTATTTTTTCTTAAAAACTGCACAATTTTTTGATTGAATTGGGACCTTTGATAGCTTAAAGGACACTCAAGAGAATGGTGCAGGTCTCACAGTTTGTTGAAATGCCTAATTTTGCAACAATTAAAAAAAATTATAAAAATTTCGGCATCTTCCTACTACAATTGTTAAGATACATATTTTTCTTAATGAAATTTGTCCATGAAAAACATCTGCAAATGAGGTCATGTTGAATTTTTTGTGTAATTTCTTGTCTAACAATTCCTTGCTTCCAATTGACTGTGCTTCGTGTATGTATTAGAGATAATTCCAGCAAGACGCTTCTTAAGTTAGAATTTGCATATTAGTCCTTATTTGTTTACTTCTTACTTTTGAGCTTTTGTTATAGATAATCTTCTATAATTTATTTAAAACCTATTTCATGTTGTGACCTTTAATTTAGTTAAATGTGAAAACAAATAGACAAATTCGCAAACATCATAAAAAGAAGTTGGAATGAACAGTAATGCATGTAAAAACAGAATATGAGTATAGCAATATTATATTTAGTAATTATGGTTTTGTACCAGGGGTACCAACAATGCTAATTTGCAAAGTATTGTATCCCATACGAATTAGCTATCGTTGTGTTGCAACACATTGTAATTTCTCACTAGTAACAGAAGGTAATAATGACTGTCATTGTTCATTTGCATTAATATAAACTAATAATTATATGCTAAAATATGCATTGCACTTCTTTGGTACATTTATGTAGAACTTGGATATACTGAATTCAATGTCGGACGTTTAAATTAAAAATCATTGGTACATTTATGTAGGATGTGGATACACTGAATTCAGTGTCTAATATTTTAAACGTTTGCATTAAAAAAATAATGTATTTTTCACACTTCGTTAGTTTAAGGATTTTTAAAATAGCGATAGAAGTTTAGGAGAGAAATTGTGATATTATAATATTACATGGCTATTAGGAATATTGCAAGAAAGTACATGCTGTTGTAGCTTCAGTAGTTTATTAAGAATAATTTCATTTTGACTATTAAATATGAGAAGAGGCAACATTTATGCATTTCAACGCAAAATCATTTATAGTCACTACAAAATTCCAATATTCATGATTCAAAATGAATAAGTAAACTAAAAAAAATTGTATCCGTTGGTAAGGCCAAGAGACAAATAAACAAAAAATTTGCAGCTTAACAACAATAATAACAATAATATAATAATAATAATAATAATAATAATAATAATAATAAATAGATAATACTGTAGATGTTTCACATAGGTTGGACTACATTCCATAGTAATATTAATAATAATTATAATAATAATAGTAATATAATAGTGTAAAATATAGTTAATAATAATAATCATAATATTATTATTATTATTATTATTATTATTATTATTAAAAGCAGTATTGAGTTAGATAAAATGTGAAAATCATTGATTTTGACAAGCAAGTTAATTTGAAATTTGGCTACGTATTGTGAAAGAAAATTGTTGCTGTGATATTGTTAAAAGATCAGTTATTTATAAAGACTATCTATTTTAAGCATTGAAAATTCAGGATAATATTCTCAAACAATATTAATTGGTCAGCTTCTTACATCAGACGGTATTGTACTTCATACTTAAATGAACAAAAAAATTGTTTCACTTTGGTTTGTGAAAATGGATATTAGTTTTGCATAGTGTTACTCTACACATTTATTAAGTACAGTTCCTAGTGTGAATTATATTTGTTTTCATCTAATTCTTTTAAATTCACACATGTTGCTGTACAGTGTTTGCACAAGCCAACTATTGTATTTCCGGAGTTTGTTGAAAAATTCAATAACGGGGAAAAAGTGAATTACACTTTGTTCCTTTTAACTTTTTTATCCACTTCCTTGTTTTTTAAATTTTTAATAATTTGGTTTTTTGTTCTCAATTAAAAGTGATGGTTTCATAAACATTGCTTCTACGTGTTCAGTGTGTAAATAAATTAATTCTCTTTAATTGGACTTTGCATTTGCAGAGGCAGTGTTAAAAAGCAATATGAATATCAGGAAGTAATTCTTTTGTAAAAAATGTTTAGTGAATAAATGTAGATCTGAAAATTTTTAATTGAATTTTCAAGATCATGTAGATGAATACTTTAGTGGCTATTACTTGATCATTTTATTTCTGAGTTAATTTTAAATTGCTCTTAATGGCAATAGCATAATACTGTTAATTGTTTGTCCTAATTTATAGAGCACACAAAATTCCTGCCTGGAATGTGTATTTTGAATTGCTCGAACATGTCTGGCTAATAAAACTGAAGCAATGATCTGTTGAATAAACATGAGGCATTTTTAATAGATTTGAGGGAAATTTTATTTGCATAAACCTTGTAATCATGCACTTCACTGTTTTACAGAGAGTGGATAATTTGAATAATTTCTATTATTTTTTATTGATCATAAAGATCATTGTTGTCAATCATAAAGAAAGTTGTGTCTTTTTCTGGCATGCCAATTACTTGTTGGTAAATGTTACGAATTAAATATAAATATTTTTCGGAAATTGGCTTGTGCAAATAAATTATACATGTTAATATGTATATTACTAAAAGTAATGCAATTCCTTGTAGGTCTCCTTCTCCAGAACCTATTTACAGTAGTGATGGAAAACGATTGAATACTAGAGAATATAGAACCAGGAAGAGATTAGAGGAAGAAAGGCATCATCTGATTCAACAGATGTTGACACTGAATCCTGAATTTAAACCACCTGCTGATTACAAGTAAGATATATTTTATTGATATTTGGGCAAATGAACTAATGTATTGTTTTCTAATATGAAATTTTATTTTATGATTAGACCTCCTATCATCCGAGTGAGCGATAAAGTAATGATACCTCAAGATGATCATCCTGATATTAATTTTGTGGGCTTGCTGATTGGACCTAGAGGAAACACTTTAAAATGTATGTATTTATGAGATATGTTTTATGCTGCATGATTATCATTGTGTACTGTTCCTTCTTGCCATGACTAGTATAATGATCTGCAGGGCATGTAGCACTTTCATCATGTGAGGCCCCTTGTATTAGGTTTTCTAATTTTTCGAGGCATTGTCAAGTGCATGGTATGACAAAAAAACTTCAACCTATTTTTTATTATAATTGTTTTAAAATTCAATTCTTAGCTAAACATGGCTGTTATTCAATATCGAGGCAAAACTGTTGACTAGAAAAGATCCAAAATTTAAGTATATAAATACTCAAATCTAGAGAAGCACTCTGGGTCAAGTTCTGCGTCATTATTGGGATATATGAATGTTTTTTATCACATAAATATGATTTTGAAGAATTCAGTGTCTAGTAGACATTATTACTTTACCTGCCGAAAATGTTTTTAATTTTGTTGTTTTTAATTAAAACAATGTTTTTAATGTTTTTTAATTTTGTTATTGAAATTGTTTGGTGAATTTTGTTTTGTAGTCTGCAATGTTGCAATGTGTATGACATAATAATGTGTTACTGTACTAGAGGTGAATAAGTACTGATACTTTGCTCCACTGTTGGCGCACATTACTATGCACATGGCACCACCTTCCCATTAATAAACAAAATCTCAAACATTTAACATTTACTGACAATGACACTTTTGTTGTCATGCTTATAACATTCGCACAGCTGACCTTATCGCCTCCTCGATTCTGTCCATGTCAGATAAGCACAAAACGCTGAGTACCTCAGCTGTGAGAAAGTAAACAAATGTTCTTGAGCTGATTTCTTCAGAGCGTTCTCTTGACATACCACAGCACGTGGCAAGAAAAACAGTAGTGCTTTGTTGATTGGTTTAGCAATTCAATCTCTGTTAGTGTGCATTCAAAAGTTATGGCGAGACTTCCACAAAAGATATAGAAGACTGTCATCTTATGACTGTGATGAAGATATGTGATGATTATGTTCTACATTCAGATGATAAAAGTGAAGGTTATGTTAGTGCTGACTAGTAAAGTTGATGATGAAATGAGTGAAACTAAAAGGCATTGACCACAAACTCAGAACTTCGAGTATGTTTGCTATCTATATAGAAAAAGATTGTTCATGGAACATGAATCCTCCGGCAACTTCAAAGGGTGAGATCCTGATGTGCAATCCTGCAATTGTGAAATCCTGCTTCATTTTTCCATCCTAAACTCTTAAAGGCCCCACAGAAGCTTTCAGTTGTACATGTGTGAAAACATAATAAGTAACTTTGTAAAATTCAGAAATCAGGAAGGAGAGAGGCTCCACAAAGAAAAGTCAGAGAAGCCATGGCCTGTGATAAAATTAAAATAGTGTGCGTTTTCGCTATTTAATTACTTCTGGCACATGAAAATGAGTTGTATTCTAAAAAAAACAGTATAGATCATCTATAAACAGAATTGGACCCTGATGAGCTTTTTAGAAGCAGATAAATCATCTTTTTCAACTTATCTGTAATTAAGGCTCAAAGAGTTTTGGTATTCTATTCGATATTGAAATAGGACGATTGTTCTTGTCTTGTTCCTATTATCCGTTTTGAAGACAGGTTAGATGAATGACGATTTCTACTCATCTGAAAATTCACCTTCAGCAAGGGATTTAACAAAGAGAATCTTGAGTTATTGTGAGAACACACATCTAGATTTTTTCATCATTAATGCAGATATTCCGCTTGGCCTGATGCTGCTATTATGCTTAAGTTTATTGATTTTGTGAAGAATGTCAGTTAGGGAAGTATCTATTGTGCTCAGGTTGAATGGAGATAATTCAATCAAATCAAAAGAATGGTTTGAGATGTATGAAGATCTTTAGGCTGCAGAAAAATGAGTACTAAAAGCATTTGCTATTGATTGAGTTTAATTGTACGATTCATTGTTTAAATATATGTGAGGTGAAATATAAATACATATTCTTTTTAGAATGTATATATTTCCAAAAAATCCAATATTCAGCAATAGATAGCCTAGCACCCCTCTTATTGGGTTAGTTAAGGTTTCAACTGACTGTTTCAAATGAAACATATTTCTTTCTAATGTGTTTGAAGCCACAGGCTATTTGAAGCGGCAATGTCAAGAATAGCTGTCAGAATGCTTGAGTAACTAGTTACTCTATATTATCGAATAATATTCTTACACCCTTTTTTTTTTCTTCTTCTCCTCCTCCAAGGATTGAATCTGAAAAAACCTGGTCAAGGCTAGGTATTTTGCTAGTAATATATATTATTAGAAATCTTTGGCGTGACCCTTCATGTAGTATGGCACATCAATCTGGGCACCTTACTGTGATATTTATATTAAAAATTGAGTCAATTCAGCATAAGTTTCTGCAACATTGGCATGGAGGTTATCATTGGAATTCCTGAGATTATTGCAAGACTATTCGTGACTAGTATAACTATTATGAATCTTAAGTTCCTTATGATCACATATGAAATTAAAGGCTACATTGGTGTTGTTCAAACTACTGAACAACTTTATAGATTGTCAATTTTTAATCTCTAATATGTATTGTTTAATCCCTACTTGAACTCAAACATATTCATCCTATACATTATACATCTAATTGTACGACAGATGGTTTTGCAATGTTTAAAAGTACCACTTTTGTAAAGTTCTACAATTGTTAACTGATTCTGTTTAATTATGTAATTTTGGGTGATTGCCTATAAATGAGTCAAAACAAAATTGAGTGCATGAAATAAATATTAGCTTGGTTGCAACATGATGCTGTTTTAATTTTCAATGTCCTTCAAGAAGGCTTTTTAGTTATTAATAATGTGAGATTAACACTGAAATCATTTCTAGCAATGGAACGTGATACCGGTGCAAAGATTATAATACGAGGCAAGGGTTCTGTGAAAGAAGGGAAAGTTGGTCGTAAAGATGGTCAGCCCCTACCTGGAGAAGATGAACCTCTTCATGCCTATGTCACTGCAAACAATCCTGAAGCTGTGAAGAAAGCTGTTGACAGAGTGAGTACATGAACTTTTACAGTGAGAGCATGTTTTTTGTTGGAAATGGAAAGATTTCATCAACTTACTATTTATTATTTTCCCCTAGATTAAAGAAATAATACGCCAAGGGGTGGAAGTTCCAGAAGGACAGAATGATTTGCGCCGGATGCAACTTCGTGAACTTGCATTATTGAATGGAACCTTGAGAGAAAATGAAGGTCCTCGGTGTTCTAACTGTGGGGCATCTGATCACAAATCTTGGATGGTATTGTATATGTTTAATTTTCTTCTGAACTTCTGTAGGCTTATAAGAAAATTAAGAAATTGCAAGGTGATGCTGTGAAGTGAGTGGCCTCTGGATTTTTAGGATTTTATAAACGTCATTTTATGTTTTTTGAAAAAAACATGTAGCCCATTTAAGGTTCATAATTTTTTTTCTAATCTGGTTACCAACATATGGAATGTGTAACGAATTTAAATTATTAACTTTTGCTGAAGCCCATATTTACCGCTGTCCTATTTATACGACAGTGGCATTTTTGCTGCTGCTAGTTTTGTTTATTTTTCATCAATTGTCAATGTATATTGCTTTTAACAGTTTTATCTTCTGCCTAAATTATAATTAATTGAATATTTTAGCATACTTATTAAATATTTTTGAATTTCCCCTTTTTTGTTACCCAAGGTACGCTTTCTTAGAACTAAATAAAATGAAATGCCATCATTCAAATGATGATTCAAGTGTCAATTCCTATAGTTTTTTAACATGTTCCTTCATTTATTTCCCAATATTTTATTTTATGTAAGAGAAACTTGCAAGAAAAACTAGGTGTCCTATAAATATGCCCGTGATAAAAAGCCGTATCAATGGCAGCAACATACATGAAAATAAATTTCTAACTAATTTCTTGCCCATTATTTCAATTTGAAAATACAAATGGGAGCTATTACTGCCTGTGCGAGACATTGAGACCAGAGATAGGTCTCTATTCCTGTGAGCAAGTTTTGAACTAATTTGCAGAAAGCCAGTGCAACAGAGGTGTTAAGAGATCAGTGACAGAACAACCGTTTGCATGTGATGTTGGCAATCGTCACCAGTGAAACCACTAAAACCATTAGTATTCGTTTGTACCCATTTGTTCTACAATAATATTTGTTTGTATCAAACCACATAGAAGTTAAAGCACTTCTAATTATGGTGGGGCCAATTCAACATTGGCACCACCACTTTCTTATGTAAAAATTTGGAATCATTCTAAATTGCTTGTACCAGACTGTTGCTCCAGAATTTTCATTTGTACCAAAGAAAATAATTAAGATTCAGCAATTATAATGTGGCTGTAACAGCCGTTATAACTTAATGTTAGCACTGCCTCCGGTAAAAATATTGGAACCATCCTAATGGTCTGTATCATATCGTTACTCCAGAATTTTTCGTTAGTACCAACAAATTTTAAAGTGGGGTAGGAACCTAACCTGTCCTTAAAACCAGCCCCATCACCGCCCCCGCCAGCAAATTCAAACTGTTGTAAATCGTTTGTGCCACGTTTGTACTGGAATGTACAATCAAAATTTGTTCGTACCAAAAAAAAATTAATATCAAAGTCATTTCAAGAATATAAATAAATGAACATTTGAAAGTAATTTTTGTGTAAATAGTAAATTTTTAAGATGTTAAAACCTGAAATGAATAATGATATCCTTTTTTCCGAGTGTGCTATTGAAAGGTCAGCAAAAATGTCTATTAAAGTAACTATGTTGAAAAGTTCATGAGTTTTATCAAAAGATCCTATATTTATGACATTTCAATGAAAAATAACAATTTTGGCATAAAAAAGGCGTAAAAATGGTTTAAACATGACATTATTATTAAGAAAGTCATAAAATATTGAGCTCTTTTCAAAATTTGTCTACATTAATATTTTAGAAGTGCATTGGGACCTAGTCACAAAATGTTCGAAGAGGTTAAACTGGAATTAATTTAAAGTATCTTTAATGCCAAAAAAATTCTTATTTACTAATCAAATTTTCATGGAAAACAGAAATACAATGTGTCCACCAAAGCGAAGGATTGCATCACATTCTTTTCCTGAACCTGCCTATGCAAGGTTTGAAAATTAACATTCAGCGATTCTCATTTTGTAACCTTAAAGAATGTAAGGTATTACTGTTTTTACTTTCTCATACATATGTATATACGTAGTAGTTAATTAACAATTTGTAAACAAATATTCACAATAACAAACATTTATCCACTAGTTACAAAATTATAAAAATTCAAATATTTTACTCCTTGAATCCAATTGGAAAGTCACAGTATTATCATGAAACACGTTGATTGACAAAATAATTGTCAGCTTATGCGTGGTTTACAGGGTTGTTTGCTGTACATGACCTATACCATTTTAAGTCAAAATTATAATTATTTCTCCAGTTGTAAGGTGACTTATAGAGAAGCATGTCAGAAAGAAATCTACAATTCAAATTACCTCTAAATAAACTTGCGCAAAAAGATCAGATCATTCAGAGAGCATTTAGATTTGGGAGAAGGAATGTCAAGCCTTGATACAATGTGTGCATAACTGTGGCCTATGGAAGGATCCTGTACCGAGTGGCAATCCTGAAAAATTCATGTTGCACTGATTCTATATTCGATGTATGGTTGCCAAAGAAAGGAGGTCTTACAACTGGGAACAACATCAAAATGGGTTTAACTAACCTAAGAAAGAGCGGTTTTAATAATGTAATTGAATGAAATTCATAATAGGTGCGCTTTACAAAATCGAAGATCTGGATCTAATTTGATTTACTTACTGTGCGCTCAATATGTTCATTAAATGTCATACCAGAATGAAATATCACACCCTTTTCCGCACTACATCACGTACAGTGTTGTTGTTGTTGTTGTTGTTGTTTGTTTTGTGTGTGTGTGTGCGTGTGCTGACTCTTATGGATTTGACTCTCACTATCTCAATGGAGTTTAGTTTGTTATAAAAAGCTTACTGATCTAGGTCTGATAAAAGTTGTCGACTTACATTACTTGGCATTCAGAAGGTTATTTGTAACGCACCAATCAGACAGAGCATTCAATGTTTGTTGCAAGAGAACCCTGACTGAATTCTGAAGAAATGCTTAAGATCATCTACAAAGAGCAGGTGTTCAACATTACTGATTACCTCACAAATGTCATTAATAAAAGTATTAAACAATAGGGGACCTAAATGAGAGCCTTGTGGAACGCCTAATGAAGCTGCAATAGTGCCTGAGACACCACCATTTGAGACCAACTGTACATGATTGGCTAAATAAGTGTGGTATCAACAAAACAGTGGTCCATGTATCCCCAAGTTTTGAAATCTGTGCAACAAAATGGCATTGTTAAAGGAATCAAAAGCCTTACTAAAATTGGTTTAAATACAAATCTGTCTGACAATTAAATACCATCCCTTCGATAATGTAGATAGGATAGTATACAAGATTGAACTCAATAATTCTGCCTGGCATGAAGCTGAACTGTGTCTCAGACAAAAGTGGATAAATAACTTTGGCAGTCTTGTCAAAAATCAAAGATCTGAAGAGCTTCGGTATCACACTCAAAATTGATATTGGTCTATTGTTAGTTATATTGTGTTTGTCACTTGACCTAAAAATAGGCAAGATAAAAGATGATTTCCATTCACTGAGAAATGCTCCCTTAGCCAAAGATAAGTCGAATATCATCTGAACCAGATTTCAAAATCTGGGAGATGATAAATTTACAATTCTTTGAGAAAATAAAGAAATGCCATCTGGTTCAGTACTAGACTTAGAGTCTAAGAATTCAATATTCTGTAAAATATTAGATATCTAATTTTCAACCTCAGACCCTACACATTAGTCTTCTCAATTAAAATCCAACTAATTCAATTGATGATTATAAAAAGATGAAAAGTAATCAGCAAAACCCTTTACAATAGAATTGATGTTGTTAAACATAGAAGAATCACAATATATCACATTTGGTAAACCCGTATTATCCCGTTTACAACTAATGTAGCACCAGAAATTTTTTGGATCAATCGTGATAAATATACTTATATTGTTCTTAAAAATAGCAAAATCTCTCACAGCAGTGCTTTTACAATCTGTCCTCAATTTACAAAACTATGTAGTAAATAGGAGAATTATGTTTATTATAAACAGAATGATAACATTTCTGGTCAATTATAATTTTCTTTAATTCACCACTAAACCAAAGTGGGAATTTAAGTGTTGATTTAGTTGTAATAATCTCTTAATTTCTGGCAAGACTCGGGTCATAGGGTCTGGCCTGTGTAAAAACTTAAATATTTTTAATTACAATATTCATAATTACAGTTGAGGTGTTCAGGCAAAATACTAATTTTTCAACAGGAAAACTTCTTGTAATTGCAAGTTACAATATTATGTGTTGTAACTGGTACGATTAATACAAGGTGGTAAATGCTGTGATAGTAATTTAATTTATTAAGCTCCTTTGTTTTCTTGAAAAAATGGGAAAATGTTGAGCCTTAGAAGAGGCCCAATTCTAAACAGTTTCTTTAAAAATTAATTTACATAATTACAAATTTTTTTGTGAGAATTATATATAACAAAGTATTTATTTTGTTGCAGTGTCCTGACAAACCCAATGTTACCAACAACATTGTCTGTACAAGTTGTGGAGGTGCAGGACATATTGCAAGAGATTGTAGACAGAAACGTACAGGTTTGGGTGCCACTACTGCAGGAGACAAAAATAAAATTGATGAAGAGGTAAGCTCTTGACTGGACCCATAACATTTCCTAGACTGGACAATGTTTCTTTTTTCATTTGTGTTTGCATATCATAATTAGTATCATCTTTATACCTGTTTGCTTTTCAAGATTTATGTGTAATATTTTCATTTCTTTATTTTAAATGTATTTCTAATATGTTTTTGTTTCCTACCTACTACCTCAGATGTGAGAATTAATTATGACCTGTGTCTATTTGTGACACTGGACAAGTAGAAAAGCCACGGTCTAGTCTCATTTTTCTGGTATCTTCTTTTTTACCATCTTGGGTGTTCTACCTATTTTTTGATCTAAGCATTGTCCTAAGAATGTCTGAACTATTATCCTTATAAACTAAGTAATCTAAATAATTAATGCTTTTCCCAGGTGTGAGATATTATAATTAAAATGCATTATTCGTGGATGCATTCATGGGAAACATCAACATTTTACATTTTGGTCAAGCCAATCCACCCCTCTCATACAAATCGCAGGCAGAAATGCAAGCAGGTTGTAGAATTTCAATTCTCTTGTTCTCAGATAAACACAATCGTTTCGCTTTTTGTAGAGGAGATACTCCTACTTTGTTGGAGGCAACAGTTACAGTATTGTTATCATTGTTGCGAAAACACTGATTGTGTTTCTTGGTCTGTTGCTTGATCATATGCACCTCTCTGAATCGTTTTCAATTTACAAGGCTCCAGGACAGGAACTTTTGCGACTATTGTTCCTGATTGTACCAGTGGCATCATGACCCATGTTACTTAGTTTTTCTAGTAGATGAATCGATTTAAAATAATTATCCATATATAAGCTGTATTTTTTCTTCTTGGGTAGTTCTTGGAGCAAGTCCATCTCAACAGATCCATCCACATGAAAATCTGGAATTTTGTTCCAAGTAGAAGCTCCCTGGTATGATTCTGCTTGAACAAGGTGCATAGGGACCATACCTTGAAACCAGAACGTATTGGTTTTCAATGTAGGTGTTGTTTTCTGGAATGGCAACCATAGTATTGAACCATGGATTCATCTACGCACAAGTTCGCATCTTGGGCAAAGAAAATGAGCCATCTTTCATTTATCATTGTCCACAAAGGTCAAACTTTTGAGAATTGGTCATTTTCATTAGATTATTTTTGTAGATACGTGGAAATATCTTAAAAATTCTTCAAATCTATTTCTTGATATTGCTCTTTTGATGTGTATCAATTCCAGGATCCCAGTAAAGGCGGTACCTAGCGTTACCACAATACCCACTGAGCAACAAAATTGCAATTAAAGTTTTCATTTCTCGATGCAACACATCAAAATTGGTGTTTCCTTTAAAAAGCAACGTACTTTTTACTCATTTCAACTAACAAATCAAAAAATCACTACAGTAGAATATTTCAAAACGATCAACAGACCTATCTCTTTGCAGCCAATCCGGTTGTTTCCAAGTTCGATCTATGAGAAGTACAATGTCTGTTTTCACTTAGTTTCAAACTTTGGTTTTCCTTACTGTTGTGGACAATTCAGTCGTGATTTCCTGGTTCATTACAATAAGGGTTATCGCTTGTGATGGTAAAATAATTTGTTCTACTCCAAAGGAAGTAATTTTTGTCGCCTGTAGTTCTCCTTGGCCTTGTAGCTTGTTTCCTGTAAGATAGTTTACATCAGCATCTTTTGCTGCATCTTGGCCACTATCTTCATCACTAAGAAGATGGTTCTCAGGAGTAGAGATATAAACTGAAGCTTCTGTGAAATCATCATGTTCAAATATCAGTATACAGTATTAGAGAAAAGCTCATGAGCATGCAAATGTGCGTATGTGTGAGATTCCATCACTAGTGGCTTGACAATTTCCCATGCACCAATCGAAACTTATGAGGTGTCATTCGACACTTCTTGGTCACCTGCTGAGGAACTAATAGTCTGTTTTCACATCCAGCCAGAACATTCAGATTTCTAAAATTCTAATAATCTTTTTTTTATGTTTTGGTGCTGCAATCTGAGTGATGGTATCAGGAATTCCACCAATGCCATTTAAATCAATCAATGTCGACGGCAATTAAACACGTGTACCCAAACAAATTTTTAGCAAAATACACCATAATTTTTGTTCACGACATGGGCAACCCTGATGTTAAGGTCTTTGAGTAAACTCTTGAATTATCAAGTAAATCACGCTGCAGATTGATTTGAATTTAGCTTCGAATTATTGTATTTTTTTAAATAAATTTGTGAAAACCTACAAACATTGCCTTGGAACTTATTTAACTTGAAGAATTTCAAGCGAATACAAAGAAAACAAAACTGTAATGCTAGTGAATGAATGAACTTTATTTTTGGCTTCTTACGTAAGTGTGCAAGTACCGATTTTCAAGTGAATATGACCCACAACTTATGTTTATTAAACTTAACTAACACATTATTCACATAAACATATAAGGCATTGGTCTTTTAATGTTAGATTTGCAAGAAAGACTAGATTTACACACTAAACAAAAGAGCAATTGCAGGAGTGAACACACACAAGTGTGTGAAGTTTCAATCTCTTCAAAAATTAGGGGAGAAAAATGTGGAAGTGTTAAAGAAACCTGCAGAAGAATTAAATGTAATTGTAAACGATGTTGTGACAGAATATTTGGAATTAATTGGGAATAATCTGCATTTGTGTATTTAGTGTTCGAGCTAATGTAAATGTGCTGTGTGTATTTATGTGCATGTTAGTAAAAAAGCTTAAAAATGTAACTGTACTAATATTCAACTATTAGCATAGCATCACAGCCTGCAAGTATTTTTTAACGCGAATATAATTTTGAAATTGCAATAAGACCAGTTTAAATCCCGTATAGAGGTAACACACAATGCCATTGACTGTTGGGAACTTTTGGACGGTAGTATAACATTATCATCTACTACGATTCATTGGTAAGTTCTATGCCTGATTCTGAAAGAACATAATTGATCAAAGCTGGGCTTCAGAGAAATTTTCGACATTTTTAAAACCATTAACAGTGTTGGCGATGCCACATTTTAATAGTACCTATTATTTCGTTTACAGGTAATCTGAAATGAACAAGGCAAACAAAAGAAATTCAAATAGAAAAAAATATTTAAACATTTGAATATAATACATATCACACTAAAATATTGGCATGTACTCAAATTTTAAAAGTCTACCTACTAATTATAGATCTAAAAAATAGCAGTACCCTCTCATTCCCTTTGCCCCTCTGAAGGGGTATCATGATTTTATTGTGATTTTCTGTTCAAAATATAAGCTATAATATTTTGTATGTAAAATTGTGTTGAAATATTTTGTACATTTCAAATATAAGTTCCAAGAAATCGTGTTATCAAATACACTATTAAAATAATTATAAATTTAAGTAATGTACTTATGATTCACGAAGCGACATGTTGCTCGAATACAGACACTTCATGAAGGTCTCCCATGGCAATGAAGAATGAATGGTATATAGTTAACCTGTGATCTTTGTCATATTCATTGTTGCCAACACAACAGTATAGGGTATATAACATTTCTTCATTCGCTCCAGGAAATGAAGTATTAACAGAAAAATACATTGCCCCATTTTTCGGGTAATGAGGATATATGGGTTAATGAAATGTGTTTGACATAAACAGATCTTCAAATAAGGTCATGTTGAATCTTTTGAAAATATTAGTATTCTTTCAGTAATTCAGCATCAAACATAGTCATCTGCTCTGAATTTACTGCGCTTCATGTATGTAAAATTAATGTTGTCAGGCACTTGGATGCTACGTAATTTAGTATTTGTGTATTCTTTCGTATTTCTTTGTTCCTTATTTACGTTTGAGCTTTTGTTATACATTTTAAAAAGAAACTTTTAGAAAAGATTTAAAACCTATTTATCGAGCATCCTTTGATGTAAATGTGAAAACAAATACACGATTTCTCTTTGCTTAATAAGATGTGTGAATGAATAATAATGCATGTAATAGAGTAATTTTGATGAACGTAAAAATATTTAATTATTATATTTTTTTATCCATTTTCATTTTCTTGCTAGCGGGACCAACTATGCTAATTGTGTATCCTATATGATTTAGTGATGATTGTTGCTTGTTGCAATCCATTGTTGTAACACTGCAGTGATAACAGTAGGCGATAATCATGACTACCTTTTGTTTGCTGTAATATAAACTAATAATTTTATTTATATCTAAAATACGCAATTTGCATCCCTGGTGCATTTATGTAGAATGTTAATTCACTGAATTAAATGGCAGAAATAAATAAAAATGGCATTCAATGGCATTTGAAAAAAAAAAATAAATAAATAAAAAAAATAAACAAAGAGTATTTTTTGTGCTTCATTTGTGTAAGAATTTTCCAAATGGTAGTTGAAGGGTAAGTCAGAAATTGTCATATTATAATATAACATAGCCATTATGAATATTATGAGAAAGTAAATGCTCTTGCAGCACCACTAGTTTCTTAAAGAGTTCAGTGCTTCCAGATATGATTAATAAGTCGCGAAATGCTCGTACTTTCAAGGGGTTTGCATCCATATTTTCCTATGTTTTTTGACATGAAAATGTATACTCCGCAGTTGGGTGGTCCAATAACAAGACTTGTTTCGAAATTTGACACCTATTTTTATAACTGGTTTGTTTTTAAGATTACATTTAAATTCATACTTACAATGACTGTTAAAATTTAAAATTTATTTTCTGACATTGGATTCATGTTAAGTAACCCAGAACTACAGGGTTCAGTCATGTTGAATTTTTGGGAAATAACGTAACATTCATAACATAATATAATCATGTTATGAATTCACAAAGAATGTGTTTCGGTTTTCAACCCCTCAATGGTCTGGTTTCACCTTGATTTTTGCATTCTTGTTCATTCTCTATAAAATTAATTAAAAGTATATATTTTTGTTTAAAAAAAATGAAAATACAAATAAAAGTTCACTTTCAGTCAAGCCTTTTTATTATTGCAAATTTTAATAAACAAAATACAGTGGTTTTAATAAAATAATTTAGTAGTACAGATTTTGAATACAATTGTTCTATCAGAAATTACTAATTTTACTTAATATTTGAATGTAATTTTGTTGTAGTTCTTTGTTACTAAAGGAATATAATTTCTTTTACAGTATATGTCTCTGATGGCAGAGTTAGGCGAAGGTCCTCCACCAAATCGTGAAAACGACGGTGCTGCAGGAGCAGGTGGAACAGGGGGAATTGGAAGTACTCCTAAGTTTGGTCCACGACGTACTGGAATATTTGATCGTCAGATGGCTCCTCGAGCTATTATGGCTCCACCTCCACGGGTCGATCCTGTGCAGATGCCTACTCCTCCTCAACTAATTCCGAATTCCCTTCCACCACCTCCTTGGTCTCCTTCTGTTCCTCCAGTTACCAAACCACCGGGATCAGAAATGATGCCTAACCTGAACCATCCACCTCCACCTGCTGCTCCTTCAATGCCCATGCCACCACCTTGGCAAACTGCCAATATTCCTCCACCAAATTTGTTACAAGCACCTCCACCACCACCACCGACAAGTCAGCCACCACCATCTGCTACTTCACAAGCCAGTATACCTCCACTTCTGCCATGGCTTCAGAGTCCTGCTCAGCCTCCACCACCAGGATCTCAGCCACAACAACCTCTCCCACCCCCTCAGCAACCACAGCAACAGCAGCAACAGCAGCAGCCTCCGCCCACAACTATGCCACCACCTGGTATGCCTCCATGGCAACAACCTCCACCTCCCCTTTCTTCTGCCCCACCAGGTCCTGTACCTCCTCCTGCCCGCCCTACTCCACCTCCACCTCCTCCTAACATGTTTCCTTGGCATCAGAACTTCATTGGAGTTCCACCTCCACAACCAGTACAGCCTCCACCGCCAGCTTCTCAACCAAATAATCAGAATATGGACTTAAATGCATTGGCTGGTCTGCCAAGTTTATTGGCAGCACCTCCACCACCACCACCTAGTTAAGAACACTAGAATGTTGTGTGGTACCCTGACTTTTTTCCATTTTGAATGCACAGGTATTATGAGTGGAGTATAGAAATCTTATATTATACTTAGTGAAATTGTTTTGGAAATGTAAAATTATGGCTATGGAGAGTCAGTTTGTTCCAAATGTAAAAAGCTCACTTTTTTCTTTTCAAGTAATCATTTTTATAGCTGGTTTGTAATTAGTCATAGAGGTATTCATAATTTTCGTAATTACCTTAAAAGATTGAAGATGTTGAAAAATGCAAATTGCTCTTTTAATTTCATTATAATCGTTAAAAGTTTGCTGCAAATATTGTGAATTAATAAATATCCTTAAATTTGTTTCGAAATGTGCAATACTGGCTTGTCTATACTATTGGAAAAATTTTGATAAGATAAAGCATCTCTGTTATTAGTTTCTTTAATTTGGTTCCTTATATGTTGATGCATATTTCTGGTAAAGATCTGCCTGTTTTGTTTTAATTGAAGATGCAGCATTATTAAATTCATTTTCATTTGCTTTTAAATTGCTGCAGAGTCATAATCTCAAGCAATTTAAGTTTCTCAGCAAACGTACCACTTGAAGTTGTGTTAAAGAGTTCTTGCTGTCAGGCAGTGCCTTGTACATGAAATTGTCAGAAGTAACTATTCTGAGGAAAGGGGTACAGCACAATAATGAAAAAGGCGGTTAAACATATTCTTGTTAAAACCACTTTGAGAATTTAAATTAAGTTTAATTGCTTGAACATTTATTAAAGAAATAATTAAAGATTTTGTGTCCTTCTTTGGAAAAAGAATTGAAGCTCAAAAGAGATTCAGATTATTTTTCTGAAACTTTCAATTCATAATGTCCTAATTTTTAAAGATATTCTAAAAAATTTTTTCTTGCAATCCGGAATTTTATATTTCATTGAGATATCATTAATTGTACAAATAAATTTTCAGGCAGCTATAGTTTTATGTTAATGATATATCTAAGAATATATGCTAATGTCTACTCTACCAAATAGCTTCAGCTTTAAATAAAATGACAGGTTACTGTGGTGTATATTAACCTTTTCTCAGGAACTTTTGGAGAGAAGTTATTCTGAAATATTGTTTTTTATGATATATACCTTACTACCAAACTTATGATATAATAGTTTACAAAGAAAGAGAACATAAGACAATCATTAAATACAACTTATGTTCTCAGGTTTGTTTTGGAGTGTCATTATTCTCCAAACTTCATTAAAATCTCAACCAATGATCAGAAAAACTAGTAATTGCAGATGCTCTAAGATTTTCTTATTTGACTTAATAGCCAGATTTTCCTCGTATTAATGAATTATCAATATTTAATAGATACCTCATTAACCTTCTGTTGTATTTGTGTACACTTTTTTGCAATGATTATTACTAAATTGTGTATATTGAAATAAATAAATAAATATAAGTTAAGGAGGTTTCCATATAGTAAAGTAGTTGTACTTAATTTTTGAAAAAGTTTCCTGTAATGATGTTGATATGATAAATCGTGCATGAAGTATCCAGATTTGAATTTGATAATTCAAGTTCATTAAAATTTCCAATTTATAGTCTTACTGAAAGTTTTGAATTCTTTGTTTGCTTCCTCATAAAACATTGTCTTTCTGCATCCAACAATAATACAGGCCTTAAAATTTGAACTTTTCTCAGTATTTGAGTGTTTTCTCCTGTTCATTGGTACTTTCCAGATTTTTGGACGTGAACGGGAAATATTATCATTTTCAGAACTACTTTTGTGAATACGGCTTGTGAAAACATTTTATTTTGCCTTTAAAAAAAATAAAAGCTAGAAAATAATTATTAAAAAACATTTCATGCAATTCCTCTTTGCTTTGTTCAGCTGTAAGGAAGAACGTTAATTTTGAAGATGTAAGTTCTTAGCCTCTATTCTACTTTTGAAATTAAAATTTTTACTATTTATTTTTATTCCTTTTCTTTTTTTGAATATGTAACATAACTCTGCTATGTGTTTGCTACCCTAGAGTTTTTTGCGAGTTTTACATGTTGAGGTCTTGGATGTCTAAGCTTATTACAATTTTAACACTATAACGCCCGGCTTGCCAATCATCCCCAGTAGGCCCTACGGAGTCATTTCAACGTTATTTCTATAAATGAAATGTCGGGAAAATATTTATCTACCTAACTATAACATTAAATAAAAGGATTAATTTAGAGTATAATAGAAGTATTAGACTACAAGTTATATTTTAAACATTTATTGTCATTACTGTCGTGCGAAAAGGAAGTTGAAGAAACATGTTGAGGGAATGTGCAAGTAAACTGACAAAAGTTTGTTAAAAAGTAAATTTTAATGGAGTAATAATTTTGTTGTAATGATAATAATAATAAAAATCTTATAAACTTTTAAGTTTGGATAATACTAGTTTCACATGTGTCCCAAAATTATATTACCTTCCATTGCACTTCCCGTATTGTCTGGCAACATCATATTTATTTGACAAATTTTACATATGTTTGCTTCACTGCAGGAACTGAATGTGTGTTACATGCCGGAGTTCTAAAAGAAATTTGATCCCATGTTTCAATTGGCAGTAGTTCTTGCTCAGGTCATTGTATTTCCTTTCTATATATTTGACCTTACTAGGCACAAGCAGTATAAATATGTATAGTTGTAGATCTAGAATGGTAATGACGTGACCAGATTGTAGTTTTTAGGCAAATTTTGTAGAATACACACATACGTTCGATCAACACGAGCTTCCTATCCTTGTGCATGGTTCATAAGTACATTTTTCAGGCATTTCCTCATGTCTTACATAAAACTTCCCAACTTTTCCAATGTATGTAAAAAAAAACATTGCCCCACGTGATTTTAGGGATCATCTCCCAAAAGTCACAATTGTTTCCAGCCATTGTCTGGTTTCCATGCCATGAACTGTTTAAATATATATCATAATAAAGCTGAATAATTTTTCTGATGGAAGTTGTGAAATTTGCCAATGATTTCTTTCCAAAAATATCCCTTTTATTATTTCGAAAATCTTGAAACGAGACTCGAAAACAACAAATAAGAATATCTGGCCACATCAGTAACATCCGAAATGCTCTCCTAAACACAAAAATATATTATACTCGACCATTTCTCTTTTTCCGAATTATTTGAAGAATTTTTTTTTTATTCAACCTTTGTGATATCAAAGCTATTCTTTCAGGTGATGATAATTTTATTTTCGAAACTTGCTACCGTCACGAAACAATATGCGAATATGAATATTATTGAACACAAGAAAAAAATTAGGGGTAAAAAAAGAAGGAAAGAATGCTTGCTTATTTCTTCAGAAGGTATCCAAAATAGTAGGAGAGACATTTGAAAAATTCAAATTACTCTCCTACTCTTCAAATATACAAAATAAAAGCATTAGGATGGAGATAGTATGCAAGGGGTTGAAATAATGTCTTCTGGGCATCCTAAGTAAATTTAATTCTTTTTCATGAAACTGTTTTTAACATATTTCAGTTTGTAAATAATTGAAAATTATTTAATAAGTCACGAAATCACAAAATCCTATCTTCAAAAACAAAATAGAAAGATCACTAGGAGTCAAAATGACGGCTCTGGGCGTTCTAGTGTTAAAGATTCTGTCATATATTTATCGATAAAAGTTGCAATTATTTATAGACAATCAGGATTTTATTGGGCAAACAATCACATTAATTTAAATTTGAATAAAATATTAAACTCAACTTGTGTCATTGGTCAGATCAAAAGGAAGTTTGAAACTAAAATCATGGAATATGAAGGAAACATCAGGGAATCTTTTAACAGGCAAAATTCAGTAACTACCCACATAATAAATACTGGTCATTTGGTGGATTGTAAATGTCCACATTCTTAATGAAACCAAAAGATTCCTTAGAATAGTATCTGATACATTAGATATTCAATTAAATAACACCATGAATTCGATGTTAGAATGCAACAATTTTACCAATGCATATGATAATACAGTCCACAGAATCAATCAATATCTCATGATTGTCTTCCATCTTTCAACCTCAAATGCAGTATCCCCCCACCATGTCTCCATCCCTCCTTCCCTTTGTTGATCCCCCCCCCGTCCGTCCGTCCGTCCGTCCTCACTCCTCTCTACTATTTACCAGCTTGTGGTCGATGGAAGGTCAAAAATCACGCAGTAGGATTTGGCCATCAAATTCTCCACAAACAACTCCAGAGTGCATCCCATATGTTTACTAAGTGAACGTTTTAACAGTGGGAATACTGAACTGTGAATGATAATGAAGATAAATGATTGAATCAAGCCTAGAATTTATTCTACTGAAATATTATAGTTTTATGTCTGTATATAAACAAAATTTTTATTTAATATGTAAAAGAATTTTAAATTACAATTTATGAAAGGTAAGCTTCATTCATACTGTTTCTTTCTGCTTGCAATATGTTTCCCACTTTTTACTTTGATTTAAAGTTGTGTTTTAATGTATTGTATAAAATATTTATTTTAATTTTAGCCACAACGTACCTGTAGATGGAGTTGCATTGATCTTCGAATCAGAAGTTAAAGACAAAATGTGGAAAACCAGTAGTGCTACAGAGTGGCACAGGCTTTTTCATAGGAAAGATTTCTTATTTCCTTAGTATGGGCAAACTTACAATAATGCCAGCTGCCTTGTATCGCCACAGAAAATATATTTTTTGAATTTTTCTAAGTCTTTAGGTTTTCTAATGGAAGATTAGAAATATTACATTTAAAATATCATTTAACTTCATTTGATGCACTTTCACTGACAAATGCAAAAATGTTCACAAATCACTGGAAATGTGCATATCAATGGCATAAGAGATATTTCTGTGGGTTGAAGGTATAGAACACAGTGTCACATTTACTAAATTTTACAGGAGAGTTGTTTGAAGGTATGCATACCTCTAAGTGAAAGTGGACTTGGTGTTATTTTATAGCACCGTAACTCTGCCATTATTAGATGTAGGACAGTGTAGTATACCTCTGGATAGAGTACAAAGAGCTCATATTATTGTACCAATAATCTCATTTTGGCCAAAAATGTACATAGTGTCCTATACCTCTGACCCAGAGTTTTAAAAAAAATTACATTTGCGTAAGTTTTGAGAAAACAAAAGAATACAACAAAATTAATTTTATGTTTATTTATTTATTTATGCCAATCGGCTTTATCCATTTGTTATAATACAATTTGCAGTTATAATATATTAATTAATTGCACACTCAATGAATACAGTACTTCATCTATCAAATTTATTGTTTTTCATCTTTGATAAAAATGTAGATGTAGAACCTCCAAAAAATTGATTTCTGAACAGTACTTATTTACCAGGCTAACTATCCTGTTTTTAGGGCCTCGACATACGTAGTTTTTTGACGATTTCACTGCATTCAATAATCTATATGATCTCTAACCTGGTTTTGGGCATATGAATTATAATTGTTCCAATATCTCTGGGCAATCAATTTGTCCATTGATAGTCTTATAAAAAAACAAGATCCGAAATTTCTCTCCGGTTTATCAGACTGTCGTTGAAATCATCGAAGACGTTCTCGACGCTTCTATTATATCCTCTGTTCTGCAACAACTGTGCAGAATTCAAGTCTTGAACAGACCAATGTCGAAAATATAATTGAATAAGTGTGCGCACATTGTTAAATGTTACCTCAAACGGCGCAATTAGCACTATCCATATGAAAAGTTTTGAAAAATAATTTGGATCAGTTTTTGAGAAAAATGCATTTGAGCTTTTCTGAAAATGTGGAATTTTGAACTTTTCACAGAAAAGTTTCGATTTTTGAGAAACTTCACAAGACATTATTTTAAGCACATCTACTCATAAAATGCAACAAAGTGAACTGCCAATGTAAATAAAAACGATGTCAGAGGAGAGTAAAAAGAATTATATTTTTGTAATATAAAAAAAAGAGTAGAGCAGAATGCTGCCTCCCGTCATATTTGGGAGTAGACTGATGTTTATACGTTACTGTAAATGAGAAATTTGAAGTTCTTTTTCACACATTTTTAAGTTTTAACAAACTTCATTTCATGTCATTTGAAACACTTCCACTCACAAATCCAAAAGTGTTTGCAAATCGCTAGAATTGCGCGTAGTAACAGTGTTAGAGATATTAAAAAAAAAAATACGTTTGGTAATTTTTGAAAAAAGAATACAGTAAAATGAACTTCATATCATAAGAAACAGTGTAATTGGAACTATCTATTGAAAAAGTTTGAAGAATAACATTGGAGCCATGTTTGAGAAAATGGGTTTTAAGTGTTTCTGCAAATGCGGAAATTTGAGCTCATTTGCATAGAAAACTGTTGAGTTCATAAATATAATGTGAACAAATCGCCGCTAATGTAAGTATTAGCGACATGAGAGAAGTCAAAAAATTAAATTTTTGAACAAACAAAAGAGCAATACGGTATTTTGTCACCTTATAGTACACTTGTCATTATCACTATTAAAAGTTTAAAGAAAAGATATAGAGCAGTTTTCAAAAATATCTGATTTTTTTTTAATATTGTACGCAATATTGTGCGAAAGTAAAAAATTACATGACAATGTAAGAACTAAATATGGAGAAAATAATTTACTTGGAAAAATCTCTCTTCAATGTAGTTGTAGGAAGACACCGTAAAAAAATCCTACTTTAGAAAATTCAGAGATAACAGAAAAAGGGACATGGACCATCTTTATTGGTGTATTATATTATGTTTCAAAAAATTGTAAGAAAAATTTGGAGCCATTTTCGAGAAAATTTTGTAAATGTTCCCGAGGTTTCATATAAATTACCTCAAAATTTTAAAGTTTTT